ATAGTTTAGGTAACTATTTAGGCCCCCATAGCAAGGATGTGGAGGCTTGAAAATCAGCTTTGTCCGCGGTTCTTTCACGCAATTCGGGTTTAGGGGTTCAGGCTCGAGGAGTCTAAGGTCTTGGGTTTAAGGGTATAGAGCTTAGGGTTTAGGGTTTAAGGGTTTAGGGGTTTAGGGTTTAAGGGTTTAGGGGTTTAGGGTTTAAGGGTTTAGGGGTTTAGGGTTTATGGGTTTAGGGTTTAGGGATCAGGGGTCTTCTGCTCTGCATGAAAAAAATGGCGGCTTGGGGCTGCGGGGGCTTCAGGGTTAGCCCTAAACCTTACGTGGATAGTTCTCTGAAGTAGGGTCCCTTCTTTGTCCCCAAAAATAGTACGGCGCCCCTGTAAAACGGATGCCAAAAAGGTTTTTAATAGGGTTTTAGGGTTTTGGGTTGTAAAGTAATTTCAACCCCAACTGGGGTAACCAGCGTACCTAGAACATCACTTGAAGTAGCTAGAAGCTGAACTACTCATAACCAGTTTCGCCAGACTTTTCACTACCCATAAACCGTGAAGCACTGCAGTGAAGAACATGGTGGCTTAGGACGGCTGCAGGAAACGTGCAAGCGAACTGCACGCTTCCCCCTCCCGCTGTTCGAGTTTCAGTGTGTTCAGGATTGCTTTTTTCAGTTCTGCTCATTCAGCTGTCTTCACGGGGTTTTGAGTTCACAGCGGTGCCTGCAGCTGTGTAGAAACCTGGACACTGCCAATGTCCCAAAACCTTGGAGCCCTGAAAACTAACAGTAGTCCTACGCCCTAAACCCTAAACTCTATGGTTGAAACCATGGGCCCCTAGTATGGGCCTTAACCCTGGGATCCTTATACACCTACTATATACCCTATATGTACCATCAGGGGTTCCTAGAAAGGCCTAAGGGTCCACATTTCTAACCTTAGATGACTCTGACACTCTGAACCCGAGACCTTTGCACAGTCGAGCCGGGGAACATGTTGTTGCCTTCATCAGGCTTGGCATCGCTGTGCCGGGCAAGCCCGAACAATGCATCCATGTTGCCTTGGAGGGTTGAGGGGGCAGGGTTAAGGGTTTAGGAGACTGAGAAATACAAGGGTGAGGTTCAGGGGTGTAGGGTTTGGGGATTTACTTTTTAGGGTCTACGGTTTATGCTCTAAGGGTGTTGAAGTTCAAACAGACTTGGAGGGGAAGATGGCGCGATGCAGCTGGGGTTGAAGAGACTAAACTAAACTTTAAGACCCTAAAAATCGAAAACAGTAAAAGCTCCAAACCCCAAAATACTGAAACCATCAACCAAAACAGCCAAAACCCCAAACCCCTAGAAATCTCCGACAAAGTTCCACAACATCTTAAAATCAAAACCCTCGAAAACGCCTGAAATCCTCTCAACAATTGAGAACCTGATCCTCTGAAACCCAAGAAGCCATCTGCTGTCTAAGGGGTTTAGGGCTGAGGGCTGCCAAGCCACACCGCCAGTGCTCAACTAGAGCACCGGGAAAGCTCTGCTTCCTACAGTTAAATATCCCTTCAGGGCCTCAACTGTCTCTGTCTTCCACCTAAAGCGGAGACTTGAGCCGTTAAACGTGGGCAAGCTGGCTTAGTGAGGTTAGACTTCATTTGGGTGGTTGTCAAAATTATGGTCCCTTTTTGGGTCCTTATTATAATACGGCACCTATTATTTAGGGTACCCCAAAAGGGACCATAATTTTGACAACTGCCCATTTCGTGGGTTTAGGAAAGTACTTGTTGACAGGGTCTGCTGCTTCGTGTGCTTCGATAGAAAACTGACAGGCTCACGAGAACCACTATGCCCAGACTTGCCAGAAGCGCGGAACCCCTACTCACGTTGAGAATACTGCAACCCTAAACCCCAACACACTAAACATCTTCCCTTTCGGCAAGAGAAAACGACTTACAGGAGAAGCACAAGAAGTTGGAAACCCAATAATTAGCCTCAATCAAGTCAGGAATGCTAGCACTAATTTTCCTTAATCCGGTGTCCAAAACCCTAAACCCTAAACCCTAAACCCTAAACATACTCTACAGCATGAGACCCGAAGAGGGACTCAAGGAGATCAGCTCCCGGGAATTAGGGACTCAGTGCTCCAGGCTTCAGGCTTATGTTTAAGACGTTGGGTTTCATTTACAAAATTTGGGCTGTAGGATCTAGGGACTTAGGATGTAGCGTTTAGGGTTTGAGTTTAAGGGCTAAGTTCTAGGCCTAGGGTTTAAGGTTGGATGATTCTGGATTGCGAAGTTCCGGGATCAATGTGCCGCCTACAGGTCTTCTGCAACATGGCTTCGGCAGGCTGGCAGCGAAAAGCATTGGGTCTAGGGTTTTCGCTTAGGCGTTGGCGCTTAGGCTTAGGCCTTGGGGTCTACGGCCTTAGGCTTTTGGTGCTTAGGGCACGACGCCTTGCTTTGCATAATTACAGAAATAGACAGCGCACATACCCCTAAACTTAAACCAAAGCCCTAAACCCAATGGTCGCGGTCAAGCCCTGCATCCTGAGTTTAGTGCGATCGCATCTCGCTTGCTTACCAAGAAGCGATAGCGATAACAGCAACGGCAGCAGCAATACAAACAGTGTTTGAAATCTTACTACTAACAACAAGGACAACAACAACAACAACAACAACAACAACAACAACAACAACATAACCAGCTGTCATACTGACAATGATAACAGTGAAGGTTCCGATAGTAACATAAACAGATGTCATCATGATACATCCCTGAACACAGGACTGGAACTGCCCGTCAAAGAGAATCTGAAGGACACCCCCTAAAAGAAGTAAAACTTCAAAATATTGAAGGGTCCTTTTGACATTGGCGGGGTTGCCGGTTGTAAGGGCCGCTTTAGGGCTGAAGGCTGGCTAGGCGGGTTTCTGGTTTAGGGTTTTCAGGATTGCTACCGTTTGGGGTTTTTCGGCTTGGGTTTTGTCTTTACCTGACGCAGCATGGCCGAACTCCCGGTGTTTTCGACTCACGGAACTGCAAGCCGTTCGCGAGCTTTAGCTCTCGTACAAAAAAGAAACTCCTTGTGACGGAGCTGCTTGAGAAATGTATCCGACATTGTGGTGCAATTGCAACCGCGGAATAAGGGAAGCGAACAGCCAACACTGCGCAAGTTCAGCCGGCCCTGAACCCTGAACCCCAACATCTAGGCCGCAGGCAAAATATGTAAACTACTGCAGCTCCAAAGACGCACGTGAGAGATGGCCAGAGCGCAAGACAACAAAACAACTCCCAGAATACAACTCAATAGTCTCCGGCTGCGATCCCAAGATGAGTGGGCAAGAAAATATGTAATACCCTCAAACCCTATATCATGCCCCCAAACCCCTATTCTGTTTGATAATGTCCGAAAGTCTAAAAACGCTCAAGCTCCCCTCCCCAAAACGCCCCTAGTCTGCAAAAGACAAGGCTGGGAATGCTAAACGGACCTTACACTCTTTAGGGTTTAGGGTTTAGGGTTTAGGGTTTAGAGTTTAGGGTTTAGGGTTTAGGGTTTAGGGTTTAGGGTTTAGGGTTTAGGGAATAGTCCAGGAAAACTCAACACTGACTAGGGTCCATAGGAACTCTTCCAGTTACCCTTCGGGGGTCCTGAATCCTTGAAAAGTAACCTCAGTAACCGCCATATGAGGAACCTTTACAGCAACTTATGGGTCAAAAAAAACCCTAAACCCTAAACCCCAAATCCTATACCCTGAACCCTGGACCCTTATAGGTACCTTGGAGTATCGCTGGGGTCCAGGGCTAAGCCTCAAGGCTGCGCCGGCTCGGAAGGCGAGCAGATGCCATGTCTCAGACGTTGATGTTACAGGATGGCATAGGCTTAGGGTTAGGTAGGGTTTAGGGTTTAGGGTTTAGGGTTTAGGGCTTTGCGCTTAGGGCTTAGGGTTTGCGGCGTGAGGTTACAGTTACAGGATCGCTAAGCCGTACCCCACTACGGGTTCAGAGTTCAGGGTTATGTTGCAAACCACTTCCTGTAGGCATCTGCTCTGACGTGATTGTCTTTGGGCGGAAAGCGCCTCGCAGTTTATAGCCGCCCAGACAAGGTTTTCAGAGACGGGTTTAGGGCCTCGGGTTCAAGACTTTAGGGTTTGGGGTATAGGGTTTCGGGGCCCTAAACCGTGTCTTAGGCTTTCGGGCTTCTGTTTTGAATCTTCAGAGAGCGACCAGTGGAACCCAAAACTTGCGTCCCTTCAGGGTTCAGGGTTTAGGGGTTCACCTTTGGATGCGGCATTTCTTAAACACACGGAAGAAAGTACCGGAGACAGCATCCTTCAAAAGCTGCGTTTCGGAAAAGGGAAGAGCTAGACCGCACTTTGAATCTGGAGGGTTGTTTTTGTACGGATGTAACATCAAAGGCCCTAATATCATTAGAGTGGGGTATATCTTCTTGAAACTACTTGTCAGAAACTCTAAGCGATAGTCTTCTGAAGAGGAGCCAGGCACAAACAATGCGCGGGCATCAGGGGCCAACTCTACCCTTCACGGCTCTCCCTCTCCCTTCGGGAGCGATCTGCCGTGTGCTGGGACGCTTTCTCCTCAAAAACTGGAGACAAAACCGTTTCCAGGACGCTGGTAGGAATGGCAGCAGGGACAAGTCCACCAGGGGCTGCTCCACCTCGCTCTCTTCGGAGTCCAGGTCGTGGTCGTAGTCCACAAAAATGTCGGTCAGCATCTTCTGCTTGTGCATGGCAGCCAGGAAGCGTTTGGCGTACATGCTGGCGGCCTGCTGCGTGTCCCAATTCTGCGACAAGGTGGCGCAGAAAGCGTCGGCGTCCAGAGCCAGGAGCTCCGACATGCTCATGGACTCCAGATCACCCATATACACCCATGGCGCCTCAGACTCTCAAACCGGCTGGAGCGGCGAACACCATGATTCTTGTTTTTTGAATGCTGCTCCTTTGCAACCTTGGCCTTTGAACTGCGGAGCTGGCTGTTGTAATTTAAACTGCACCTGTTGTGCGTGAAGCGACTGTTGGTATCTGATCTTGTTGGTCGTGCTTTCGGTAGCATTACCAACTCATCCGGACGCAACTGCTTCGGTTGCTGCTGTCTTCCTTGCTCGCTGGTGTGGCTGCCGCCGCAATTGACGCTTATCCCGTATAAGACGCAATCCCACAAAACAAACAAATGTGTTTGTGTGTGTATGTGTGTGTGCATATGTGTATGTGTGTATGTGTATATATATATATATATATATATGTACATATCTATATCTATATATCCGCATCGATATCTAAATCTTTATCTGTATCTGTCTCCATATCTGCACCTATGTCCATATCTATATCGATATCGATATCTATCTCTATCTCTATATTTCTATCTCTATATCAATATCTACATCTATATCTATATCTACAAACATACATAGGATTCTTGTTACCATCCTGGCATCTTGATTTTGAACGTTGGGCAAAAAGACGGCGAGGGGCCCAGAGGCACATTTCAGCGACCCACCGGCTGTCGTCCAAGACATCGTCGCCCTCGTCGTGGTAGTAGCACAAAGACCTTGCGCTCAGCGATATACTATAATGTAATACGGGTAGTTGTCAAAATTAGGGTCCCTTTCGGGGTACCCTAAATAATAGGTGCCGTATCATAATAAGGACCCAAAAAGAGAGCATAATTTTGACAACCACCCAATGCAACATACTACTATACCGTTCCATCTTGCTCTATAACAGTCTGTAACGTTGTACACTATGGAGGATTGAAGGTGCAAGGTTCGGTTATTGGGTTCTGGGATTCAGGCGGTGTTTTGTATTTTTTTGCTTGCGGAAGCATGAGTAAATTAAAAACAAGACGAAGCCCTAAATCACTAGAGCTCTCCGGCCCACAAGCCCTCCAAAGCCCAAGACCTGGCCCGAAACTTTACGAACCCTCCACGTCCTGAACCCCCAAACCCCATAAAGCCCCTATAAAGCGTAGAGGCCCGAAAACCGCAATCCCTCCAAACCCTCAGCCCTGAACAAACCTTCAACGAATCCTAAACCCTAAACAAACCGTCAATTAATCCCTAACCCTAAACAAACTTTCAACTAATCCCCAAACCCTAAACAAACCTTTAACGAATCCTAAGCCCAAGGAACCCTGAACCCTAAAGCTTTTGAGGCCGCTGGCCCACTCAGCTTCAAGTAGGCCGAGGCTGCTGCCTCTCGTGGCTTCGGAGCTTCTCTTACTTGGAGGATCATGGGACTTAGTAAGTAAGGTTATAAGTCCCCTAGTTGGGGTTGTAAGTATAGTTACCTCAGTTATAACCCTACTTACCAAGTCCCATGATCCTTTCAGTAGGGTCCTTCGGGATTGCATGAGGTGTTGTTGGGTTTTAGGGTTTTTTGGGGCTTAGTGATTAGGGTTTAGGGTTGAGGGTTCGTGGGGCTGGGGGGTTTAGAGTAGCTTTACGTAGGGTTTCGCAGGATTCTACGTGATGCTTTTGCGTGCTCGGGGTTCACAAATTCAGGCCTGGCGCGTAGTGACAGGAGCTGAGTGGCGCTACAAACTCTACTGCACCCAAAATGCCGAAATGTGAATCCCACCGTTTAGGGTTTCGGGTTTCGGAAACCCTACACCCCCATACCCTTGTCCGCCTTTCCGCTCAGGAAGATCACGTCGCCCGATGCGGCAACCGTGTGATGCAGGCTCGTGCTTGCGAGCTCATAGAGAGTGTGCCTTGGCTTCACTACTGGAAGGGCTTAGGGTTTTGGGGAAACCTAAAACCTAAACACCAAACCCTAATCCCTTCCCCCTTTTATTAAACACCGCCCCAATACTAAAAGCACATTGGGCCCAATCCTCCCGAAATCATCCCTGCCCTTTCAAACCTATTCTGAATTAGGGGGAGGGTTTCGAGGTTCCAAATACCCTTAGAGCACAGTAAGAGCAAGCGCAAGAGCAGGAGCAAGAGCAAAAGTGGGAGCATCAGCAAGAGCAGCAGCAAGAGCAAAGCACAAGCAAGAGTGGGAGTAAGAGCAACAGCAGGAGCACAAGCGGGAGCAACAGCAAGAGCAGGAGCAGGGGCAGGGCAAGAAATGCAGCAGAAGCAGGAGCAAAAGCCAGCGCGGGAGCAAGAGCCAGAGCAGGAGCAAGAGCACGTCCCCTCCAAAGTGGCAGTAGAGATAAAAATATCCCCTAATACCCCCAGAATAATCATAATACCACGAGTATCTATTGGAGGGGCCCCCCCCCTCCCCGTTTAATAATAGGGGGAAACCCTCAGGATTGGCGCGCGGACTTCCGGCTGTGAAGGCTTGGGCTTTGGGGTTGAGGGTTTCGAAAGACTCTGTCAGTGTTTCATGCCGTCTCTGCAGCAAAACACTGAACCTTTACAAAAATCGGAACCCCCCCAAACTCAGCCCTCTATACTATACCCGCCAGGACTCTAAACTCAAAACGTTGAACTCGAACTCAAGGCTCAAAAGCCTCCTAAGCCGTCAACTCTGAGATCGATATGCAACCAATGCGACAGCGTCTGCATGCCTGGCTCATCCAGGAGATCACGGATGAGACGCAACTTGCACAAGGACAGGCGGTACCTGTCGGCACATACACAGATCAACATCGCCGGCAGCAAGACTTCCAGAAAAACGAAGATGATAGCGACGACAGTGATGGTGAGAGAAATGCTGAAGCTGGTGCTGCTGAAGATACCCATGATCCGAGGGTAAAGATACACATCAAATCGCTTTCTAGCAGCAGTAGTAATAGTAGTAGCACCAGTAGTAGTAGTAGTAGTAGTAGTAGTAGTAGTAGTACTACTACTACTACCAGCAGTAGTGGCAGTGCTAGTCGTCGCAGTCAGTAGCGGCAGTAGGAGGAGCAGGCGTAGTACTAGTCGTCGTGTTTGTCCTGGCCGCAGCCGAACTGGTTGTCGTCATGTCGTAGTCGTCGCCTGTATTTGTCGTTGTTGACATGATGAGAGCCACAGCAATGGCAATGATGCCCGGATATCACGCATAGGAGGAGCAATATTTGCTGGGAGAAGCCAATAGCAAAGAAATGCAATGCTCTCTGGCCAGCCTGATAAAACTGATAGTTCGGGGTGTTGTGTTGGGCTCACTTCCGGAGTTGGATCTGCGTGTACGGTTAAGGATGGGGGCCACATAGCCCAACTGGAGCATTCGGATACTTACATTGTGGCTTATCCGACCAAGCTGAGTCCAGCTGGACGAATTACTAAAGTTACTAAACGCTGCAGGTTTCTGATAAGACTTGGAAACACCCAAACCTTTCCCCTCGCTTCTACAGCCTGCCTTTCGAACTGGAGCTCGTGGAACAGCGGACGGGAGAGCAAGTCCAGCAGCGGCACACGGGCATGAAAGGACCTGGCCTGCTGCTTCAAGGCATATTGATGCTGCAAGAATTGCGTGACCTGCAGCAAGGGAGCGCCAGAGGGTTTTGGGTTCGGTCTTCAGCCTCTGTTGTACTGTAGAATCGACGCGGTGGAGGGGGCTCCAGCAGCAACGGTGTATGAAGACACATTAACAAGATCTAGAGACATCTCGAGCACATCGACGCTATCAACGGACCCCAGCAATCGACTTTTGGACACCCCAACCTTCCCCAAACACTAAACCCCTAATCCCCGCAACCCCAACCTTCTGGCCCACCTCACTGCGGATCTCGTTGTGCTTCAGGTAGCGCCGCAGAAGCCGAAACTCGGTGGTCTCGTCCTGCTCTATCTTCCGCAGGCCCGCGATCAAGCTGCTCATCGTGCTGATGAGGGTGGCCGAAGTGATGAGGGACCTCACAACTGAACATCTCAAGAGGCTCCTAGGGGTGCAGGTGTAGCCCATGGCAGCCAAGAGCGCGCCTGAAAGTAATGCAGACGTTCAAGAGCATCTCAACCTCGTTCGTCGGCTGCAAGGGGCTCTCGCCCACTCCCAGCTGACAGAAGGACCAGAGGATGCAGGCCAGGTACTGGCGCTGGGCGTTCTGGTCCTGCAGGGAGCTCGGTCTGTCCGAAACACCCGGGGGTCGTGATCATTAGCAGGGGGTCTGGGAAGAACTGCAAAAAGGGGACTGTAAGGGGAGAGTATTCTGCACATGCCTTCCCTAGCCTGTGCTTAGTTTCATAAAAGTATCCCCAACCTGACCAATCATGGCTGCTGAATGTTGCTTGCACTTGCGCCAACAGTGTTGCTGGTGGAGAGAAACCAACCGCAATGACGATGATGATGATGATGATGATGATGATGATGATGATAATGATGACGATGGTGCTGAGTATAAATGTAGTCTCGACGACTGTAGTTGCTTCTACTTCTGAAGCTTCGCACAACTGGAATTGTTCTGCCAGCACTGGACACTGCCGTACTGGCTAAGCGAGCTCCTAAACCCTAAACCCTACCCCCGAGTCTATTGGCGAAAGGTTTACCGGAGCCTGGCTCCATAAAACAATACAACATGCAAACACACCGGCAAGCACCATCACACTATGCTGCTCGTTTGCTAGGTAGCGGTCGTCATGGAAAGCACGGCCGAAACACAAAGTAGCCTGTTCTGTGTGTAAGGTGGGCATCCTTCTTCAGTGCTTTTCAGCTTCGAAGAGCATGCATGGCCTACGACTTTTAGCCAAGCTAGCTAGCCTAAGCTCGAGGAGTGCAAAGCGTCGTCCTGCAGTCCACTGGCCACGACCCAGTTGTCTGTGTTCAACCAGCTGACCCCGAACCACGCACAGGCCATCCAATGGTTCAGGACCAGCAGCTGTCCTCCATGGGGTCAGCTCGATTGCAAGACTGACGACCAGAGTTATTGTGACACATCTCATCCTCCCCATCCTTCTGCTGCTACTCCTACTACTACCACCACCACCACGACTGCTGCTACTATTACTACTGCTACTACTACCACCACTACTACCACTACTACCACTACTACCACTACTACCACTACTCCTACCCCTACCCCTGCTCCTACTCCTACTGCCACTGGTGCTGGTACTAGGACGAGGACACCACTAGGACGATGACGACAACTGCTGCTATTACACCCTACGCCCTACGACCACTACTACTGCTACTGCTACTGCTACTGCTACTGCTACTGCTACTGCTACTGCTACTGCTACCGGTACCGCTACGGCTACTGCTACTGCTACT